ATCTTTTCGGGAGACTGGGATTGAATGAGATAATTGCTGAGGTTGTACATGAAAAGTTTTTGACAGGGTGTAGTTCTTGGGGTTAGTGTTGAGATATACAAAGCCTTTGCCGGTGAAGTAGTGTTGTTCAAGATAAATGCCAAGCTCAAGGATATTGCCGAAAGGTTTCAAAGCGTCAATGAGGGCTTGCGTTAGAGTTGTACGGTTGTAAAGTGGGATGTGCGTGAGATTGACCTTGACTACCTCCCATTCTTCAGGAATAGGAAGGGATCCAAACAATTGCGTACCATCTTTCATGGTGATGGGTTCATGCTTGAGTTTGTCAACAGTTTCTTGATCATCGAATGTAACTTCTGCAGTGGTGTGCTTCCGGGATCTGTGGATGATGGCGCCATGAGCAGCATCTTTGAGAGGTGATTCATAGAGTGCTAGTCGAAATTGTTCATCGCTTATTGCTGTACGAGATAAGTCAAAAAGAAGTGAATGGGGGTGTTCTGCACGTCGCCATATTTGTCGAGTGTTGGTCTTTTCATGTTGATAAAGGGTTACCACTTCATTGTCGTGAAAAAGTGAGGTGTATGTGCGAGGTTTATCAGGGGGTCCTTTTGACCCTTGTGATTTTTGACTTTTATCGGAAAGAGCCATTTTTCATTGTGAAGTAGCTAGACCCTGACAGGGCAAAAGATGCAGAGCGTCGTGTTGTGTAACTTGAGTCAGCCAACACAGGCGATGCATGATACTTGTACACTATTTAGGAATCGTTCCAAATGCCGGCTAATACCCCATTCCTCCCATTCACCTTTGTTGCCCAAACCAATGGATGTAATCGATTGTACTGCTCCAGCCCAGCATGCCCATCATTCAACTTTCTAGATCCGAGTGGATTTGACTGAATAACGCTCAAACAATGAAATGTCGATTCAACCTGCATTTAATTTCCACTTCTTCCTCTCTTAGATTCTTCCCTCTTCCTCCCGTTCTCAATTGTTCGCCCATTCAAGTACAACCACCACCTGCAAACGATTGTCCTGCTTCAACGCATCATGTCAATCCTACAGTTGCCTTGATTCGATTGTCTTTGACTAATGGCATGTCCATGGCGTGTACACAGCCCTCTTGTCACTCTTCTACGACCACACGCCTTTCTTGATACAACAAACGCTCTTGCACACTCCTTTGCCACAATCACACGTTACAGCATTCATTCCAGCAGTTGCCATTAGCAAAGTCTCACTCCATTGTTTCAAACAGCATTCAAAACCTTGTCACTCTACTACAACACACGCTCTTCCAACTCTCCTCTATCACGGCCAAACGTAACAGCAGCAACTTGTCTTACAGCCTTTTCAAGCGAACAGAAGATAGCAATTGTATACAAACAGCTTTATTTACATGTAGCAATTTGCTTTAATACACACGAATTCCATTGGATATGGACCTGAATATTGGTTTGGTGTATGGGATGGAAGGGATTGGATATATACAACGGATGGAAAAAGAGCTTTTGTTCCTATGAATCCGTTGTCAACTTGATCGTCATGTTTGATGTTATCATCCTGAACGGTGTTGGTGCATCTCTATTCCATGGTAGCTATTGTCATTATCATTTGTGCAACCTGTCATCCATGTACAACCATCATCATCCAACTCTATGCTCTGATACGTACGCTATGCATAATTCACCATCATGACATCATGTGCCACCTCACGTCCAGCCTTTCACGTATGCACCATGCACACCCAAAAGGAGGGAATTCTTCATATCTCTCCCTAGGAACAATTCGCTGTACCTTGCAATCTTTCTCTTGTGAATGGCATTAGATTAAAGGATTACTTTAGCGAATACGACGTTGCGTTGGTCAACCATTTCTATGCTTCTATAGTGAAAGAGACCTTCCTTCTTCGTGAGTTAAACCTCGTTGTGTGTGGGGACTTGGTGGATTGTATACAGTAGAAAGATTTGTGGTATGGTAGATACAACTCATGCCTACTTGTCAATGCTGTGATGAAGGAAAGAGAGGAAGAGAAGGGGGTTGATTGATACATTATGTCTAGAAACAAAGGCTGTATTCGATACATATTATAGCTCATCCCTCTCTTTTCTGCGTTTAGTTCTGGCAAATAATGTCTTACATAACACACGTTGCCCTTACGATTTAGATCCTGTAAGATAGCTTTTTTATTATAAAGTTGATATGGCATTGGAAAGTGATATCGTTTACTTTCATGATGAAGGATATAACAGAAGGCGGTTATGGGACAAGTAGTATTACAAGGTAATTTATTGTTCTTCCTCGATTAAACCCATCTCATTCATCAACACAAGTACTTGCACCAATTGGTTCTTTTCTGCATATTCTCGTAGAGGTGCTTGTATACTGGGGATTCGTACAAGAATATCCTTGAGCTGGTCCTTTGGCAAAGTAGCAACCGTTTTCACCGAATCAGGCAGTGTACGCTATTGAAAAGAAGGAGAATGGCATATATCAGATCTCTCTATCCCTATCCCTTGGCTCCATATGGCTCGTGTAAACGTAGCCCAGTTGTAAATCACCATTATCCTACCTCAGTGCATTTCACAAATCCATCCCAGAGTTTTGGGTATGTCCACACTCTCTTCTTTATCAGCTTTTCCAAAAGATTCAGAACAAATTGCACCAGATTCTTATATACAGAAACCGTTCGAATCATCTAATGACATGGAATAGAGTCAGCTTCGTGCATGTATGATCCACTATTACAATTACTTACAGTCACCATAAGCAAGATTGGGATCTTTGACTGATCAATCAAATATCGCAAAGCGTTGGAGACGTATTTGGCTTCGAAAACATCAGGCATGGTAAAGCAAACATTGATCGCTATATGAGAGTATTAGTCGCTGTTGCTTGCATGAAAAAAAGTGTTGTAGTTACCTTCCACCGCCTTTGGTAATGGCACATTTTCTTCCATCTCGTGCAAAGCAAGTAACAACTCTGTTGGATTCATGGCTGCCGGGGACGTAGCGCTGCTTGTAACAATACGCGAGAAAACCTTCTTTACCACCTTACGTTGGCCATCCGTATTATTCAGCAACTCAACAATCTTTGGTAAACTATGCCGTAAATCCTCCTATTGTCCAACCGTCATTAGCATTCTCGTCTTCACCATTGGCAACTCCTATATTCACCTTGCTAAGTCCAGATACAATCGGGATTAAGAATTTGGCATCAAGGTTGCGCTCTTGGTAAGCTGATTTGACGGCCGAAACCAATTCAATCGATGGTTGCACTAATTTCGCATCATGAGTATCTTGCTTATCTTCTCATCCAGTATGCACATACCAGTATCACAGAGAGTGACTAATATCCTTATAACCAATGTTTCACCACCACTTGGGAAATTACGAATGACATCCAAGAGCTTAGGAGAATGCATGCCAATGGATTTGATAAGGTTGTAAATATGCTGACGGATCAGTCGCTGTACATGATCGGCTGATTGGATATATACATTGAAAAGCCTATGAACTAATGATAAGTGACATGATCCACGTGATCCAAATCATCACTTACTCATCTAACAAGTCATTTTTCTTCGCACACAGTGCAAAAAATAACTCTGCGTGTCGCACCACATCTTGCTCAGACCATTCGGCAGGCTCTTCCACCTGTTCTTTCTTTTCCTCCTCTGTGTCTTGTTCTTGACCATTCTCCGTAGGTGGATCCACATCCATTGCCTCGACCTTTTTTGCGGGTGGTTCTCCAGTAAGTGTGTGCAGCGCTTTGATAGCAAAAGCTTCCACCTTGGGTGCAATCGTTGGATGATCTGGCACCCATTTTTTCACCACGACAATGCCGGTAGATCGCATTTTGACGTCTGGATTGGTGCAATACTCAAGTAAAACATCAAGGCACATATCTCGTACGGGTGGTCGATTGGCTACCAGGTCACGTAAAGTGGATACGCATGATACAAATCTCGATGGCTCATCGCTCATATGCTTTCGAATCAAATCAATCGCTTCGGTGTTGATAGCAGGAGCATCCAAGAGCAACTTGGTCAACGTCTTGTCCTTGCCTTCAAGTGTGGGTATACCCTTGGTGAGCAGTAATTGCAACCATTTGAAATATTGAGGTTCATAGCTGGTGTCACGTCGCTTGCATTCAGTATCACAAAGAAACTCCTCATTCAACCATGCGAGACCAATTTCATATCTATAGACACAATATCAATACATAAGCTCCCCTAGAACCATACCCATTATTACCTTGTTGGTAAATCAGCTGCAATAAAATCCACAAGCATCGTTTTCAAATCAGTGGTATCCATTCCTTCCACAGCTTCCATCTTGGTATCTTCCATTGATGAAGAAGAGGCTTGAGCATCATCATTGGTGCCAGGTCGACCAGGATATTTATTGTTGATGCCTCGTGCAAGCAATTTAGCGAGAAGGAGAAGCCATGTGGATCTCGCCGATTGGTTCCATGCCATCAAAGGTCTTCGTGAGGTGGATGACATGGTATCCTCGGCTGTTGTTGCTGTATCTGGTTGCTTCGATTGTAGCTGGTATTCGGCGTCGAATATCCGTTGTACTGACATTTTCATCAATTCCATTTGCTCATTCTGTCCAAGCGTAGATGGTGCTGATAATTCATAAGGTTTCATCTTTAGGGACTGTGTTGCGCGTTCCTGCACGCTTGCTAAAGGTACTCGTGCTCGCGTTGTGATTTTGCCTTCAAATACATCCTTATCATCAGCAATGGGCGGTGCAGGTTTTGTGTCTATATCAGTTGTATCCATAGGTTGCGGGAGTGCTGGTTCTGGCTTTGGTTGGAATTGATGAAAATCGGGTCCTGATGAAGGAGGTGGAGGGGTGTTGGTTGAAGTTGATGCCGTCGTCGTTGTGGATCCGCCCAAAATGCCCGAAGGTGGAAGCTATCACCCATATCATACACAATTCCCAATGAGCCAAAAGTAATCCATGTATAATAATAAGACAACCTACCATATTAATGCGTTCTTGAATGGCTTCCTCGGTCACACTTTGTAATGCGGTCATGCATATCTCAATCACAATCGGCAATGGTATGCTTGTCACGTCAAAGTTCGGTAGCGATGGGAGGGTGCGTGGTGGCGTTTCAACTCTCGATGATGATGCATGAGCCAATTTGCTTCTCTTTTCAGATCCTTGTTCCATGGATGCAGAAGGCAAAGATCGCTTTCCTCTTCTTGTTTCCTCACTTCCTTCTCGTCTTTCTCTCGATTGTCGAGTCTGAAAGATGGCTGGATTTCCACCAATTGACGCAAATGCCTGAACCATTTCATTTCGATATTGAGGTAATTGATCCGATCTAAATCAATAACATGATGATGAGATTGACAAGATCCTCCTTCCTATCCCACACAACAATATTACCTAATCAATGTTGTCAACGCAATCTTGACCACCTTATTGACACTCCTCTTTTGTACAGTCGACATGTTCGCAGGTGGCGAGTTGCTGCATTTGATCATGGCATCCAGTATTTGTCGATAAAATTGGGGTCGCTTTCTCACAATGGGAACCAAGCAATTGATTGTTGCTGAGATGATTGTGTTGGTCCTGCAAAAGATGATAAGTATTGTTGCATTACCAATCCATCCTAATCACTTACTCATCTGGTTTTTGGAGTAGATTTAGCATCGTATATAACAGTGATTGGCCTCTATCTTCGAGTTGTTGTGCATCGAGAACACGATGTTGTGGCCGCACCAAGGTAAGAGAAGGATCTTTCTATAAATTCCAATAATCAGGGTTTGGTTGCCATGATATCCACCAATGAATAACTTACCAAGGTATTACGATCTGATTTAGAAAGAAGAAGCACCAGCATTTGGATACATTTGATAGCAGCGATCCTTACACCCAAGTCTTGATGTTGCTGTGCACTTTGCTCCACTGCATTGGATAGATCCGTTGCTGTTTGCCACATCCTTGTTTCTGCTTCATTTTGACATCTACTCATCATGTATCCATCAATACCTCTTGGTCTTTTTATATAGGATCGCCCTTTCCTGTTACTTACACGGTGTTGAATACATGTGGCACCAACAACGCAAACGCACGGTACGCCTCTTTATACACCTGGGCTTCTGTAGACTTGCCCGTATACGCGTGAATGAGATCAATCAGAGAGCTGAGGAACTGATTGGTGACATAGGACTGTGCGCCTTGAGGATGCAAGAGCGTGTCTTGGTTGAATTCTTGTAGCTGTACTGCTGCTGCATCCAGATCCATTGTCCTTGCTCGTGAGTTGATCGTAAGAGAAAAGAGACTGACGTGTCGCTATTGGAGAGTGTCTCGTAGTTAACTGGAAGACTGGACGTTGATGGGTTCTCTTTGGTGAAGCGTCGTGATTCCGGTGACAAGTCGGTGCAATGACAAAGAAGAAGACAGGTGAGGGGAGACTCAAAAATATAATAACGACTTTCTTTCGTCCCAATGGCAGCCGGCAGGAGCGATCGACTAACAATGTTTAGTGAGCAGTTGTTATGCGAGCAACCCAATCAAGATGAGCCTGTTCGAAAGAGACAACGGAAAGGGAAAAGGGCTGAACACAAAGAAGAGGAGGAATTGATTGCATTTGGATATGAAGCTCGAATATTTGATGACAAGAACACAGCAACCAAAGTGGAACAAGGACATTACTTGCTGCCATGGCAAAGCGATGATGCAAATAACAAAATGATGTTGGATAGGTAAGCTGATACTATGATTTGTATGGATGCATTGATGCTTGATACGAGTACAACAACAGGTTTGACGTGCGACATTTGCTGGAATCCATTCCTCCAAGGATACCACATCGTGATTTCCCAAAGGAGCCATATCCTGATATTGATGAAGAACGTTACGCTGATCTTGACTCGGATGAAGGATCATTATTTGACATGAGTGAAGATGAAAGAGATGCTCGTGTGGGTAAGTTCAAGTAGTCAACAACGTGATGGTATAGCCTATCGCTTGGTAACGCAATGATTTGCATAGATGAGAAACGGAGGAAGAAACAGCAACAAGAAGAAGCGAGCAATGCTTTCAAATATGACTACGAAGGCAATTCACAAAGTGATATCCAAAGAAAGCTTGCTGCTCAATACAAGACTGCAGCTGATATGCCCTTGGTAATATTCAATCTCTCACGTGATCATGGATGATGGATTGTATTGACCATAAAGACCAAATAGCCTGATACCCAAGAACAAGCGGATACTATTGTTTCAACAGCAAAAGCAGCAGCAGCATCTGTGAACCCAAAGCTTTTCGAAATCAAAACGCAAGCACGTCAAGGAAACAACCCACTTTATGCATTCCTCAGCCAAAGGCATCCACTTTATCGATTTTACAAGCATATCATTTGGCTTTCATCATCCGGCCTTGGTGCTTATGGCGACAGCAGTAGCAGCGATGATGATGATGATGATGACAACGAAAAGGATGATCAGCCAACACGACCACCCGATGATATTGCCGGCGTGATTCAAAAAACGGCACAATCAGTAGCAAGAGCTGGGAAAGCACTAGAAGCACGTATTCGTCAAGGACATGGACAAAATCCGAAGTTTGGGTTTATTCATCAGGGGCATCAGTATCATGCATATTACAAAAAGCAGCTAGAGTCTTTCCAGAAGAGCACATAAAGTGATTTTTTTAGTATTTGCAATAGATAAAAGGGTCAAAATCTACAATGATGATCGAATGAGTGTATAGAAACAAGGGTTTATGAGGGAGAATATAGGCTGCATGGCGGCAATTAGATCAAGATAGATTCACCATGGGGCTTGGATGCGAATTGCTGAGCACTTTCACGGTCGAAAGCAACGTTGCCACGGACAATAGTGCGATCAACGGCACCATACAAGGTGTGACCAATGTAAGGAGAGACCTTGTTCTTAAAGTGAATGTCTTGAATCTTGATATCGAAAGGTGCATCAGGGCGCCAGATACAGAAATCAGCATCGTAACCTTCAGCAATCTTGCTCTTCTTGTGGTTAAGCTGGGTGCGCTCAGCAGGCTTCTCAATCAACCAGCGAACGAGTTGCTGATAACTATAAATTGCAAACAAGCAATCAGTAACCAAGTTCCTATTACTCTCCATCAAATCACATGATCAACTTACGTGACACCACGGTTGCGACCTTCAGACCAAAGAACGGGAAGACCAAATTGGACGCTGGCAATACCACCCCATGCATGACCAAAGTGACCCAAATCGAGCTTCTTGAGTTGAGCAGTGCAAGGAGAGTGATCGCTGACGACGTAATCAATTGTGCCATCAAGAAGAGCTTCCCACAAAAGCTCACGGTTGGAAGCTTCACGAATAGGAGGGCAGCACTTGAATTGAGTAGCACCATCTTCAATAGCTTCAGCGGAGAAGTTGAGGTAATGGAAGCAAGTCTCAACGGTCAAAGGCAAACCTTCCTTCTTGGCAGCGCGAATGGATGGCAAAGCATTTGCAGCGGACAAGTGAACAATGTGAGTCTTGACAGGCTTGCCAGCTTGAGCGTATTCACGAGTCAAACGAATGATCATTTCAATAGCGTTGGTCTCCAACTTTTGGGGGCGAGAGTTCAAGAAGCTGGCATAGGTACGAGCATCAGCGTGGACATCCTCTTCGTGGCTGTGATCATCATCACCCTCCATTTCAGCATGGAAAAGCAACACCTTGTCGGAGTTGACCATCTTGTCCATAGCCAAACGCACTTGAGCCTCGTTCACGCAAGGGAATTCATCCACACCACTCTCAATCAAGAAACACTTGAAACCACGAACACCACGTTCCATAAGACCTGGAAGATCCTCAGCATTGTCGGGGATAACACCACCCCAGAATCCAACATCAACGTGGCATTGACCCTTGGCAGCATCAAGCTTGGTATCCAAGTTGGCAACAGTGGTGGTAGGAGGAATGGCGTTCAATGGCATATCAATGACAGTCGAAATACCACCAGCAGCAGCAGCGCGTGTACCAGTCTCGAAACCTTCCCAATCAGTACGACCAGGCTCGTTCAAATGGACTAAGGTAACCAAGGCAACCAACCATTTTTAAGTGTCACAGATCATAGTGCTTAATCCCATCATCCAAAATCTCTCTACTTACCGTGAGCATCCAAAAGACCGGGGAAGAGAACTTGAGAAGAGGAAAGTTCCAAAACCTCGGCGCCCTCTTGTTGAAGGTCTTGTCCCTGAACGACCTTGACAATTTTACCAGTGCTACGGTCAACGAGAACAGAGGCAGGTGCCACTTCACTGTCCGAGGAAAGAAGTGCCTTGGAAGCCTTGATTACCAACCAACGATCGCTCATTTCAAATGTGTGTGGTAGAAGAAAGTGAAAGAAGGAAAAGAAGAAACGAGTAAAAAAGATGGAGGGAGAACAAAAATGGGATATGAAAGAGGGTGTATAATTGTCGGCGGTATACCTACCAAACAACCAATGGCTTTGACTCTTCACTCGGAGCGGTATGTGGAACTATGACACCAACCAGTTTTTAGTGCTTTGACACACACACACACTCGCACCCAACTTCTCCTATCCCCGGTACCAATAATCGAATCTCGTGTAGCAATATCTCTACCACCGACATTTGTCACTGTATCATCCACTCACACAAGATGTTATTGTTGCAAATAAACTATACATGTTACCAGTAACAGGTCGTACAATAACGTGGGAAGAGAACCCAAGTGACAACAAAATCTTCTTTTCATAATAAGTCATCTCATGCATTAGTATGTATTGCATTGTTTCATAACCACATGTTGTTTGAAACTTCTTGGTTGAGCTTTATTAAATGAATCATAACATCTTTGTGTTGTTAGCATCGAGTTATCCAAGGTCAATCTTACAAGGGCAAAGGCCACACAAATGAGTCACCATGCCAACGAAACTACGATGTGGGTTGCCCCTCTCAACTTGGTCAGTCGTCTTCATTCTCCACTGTGTATCCGAAAGTTGCTGCTATTTGGCTGAGTTTTGCTCATCATCAAATACTCACATGTGTACCGGTATATTTGACCAATCCCAGTGTAAAGAAACTTCATCTGTATTCTAAATCAACTACTACTACGTCTACTAACTACTACTAGGCTCATCGTCCAACACCTCCAACATCCATCTACTATTTGGAAATTGCCCAGGCCGAATGTGCTTCTCTTTGCCTGTCATATTTTTAATAATGCCCCTGTCATAGCTGTCAAGGTTCCTGACGAGAAGATGATCCATTTTTGCAGCAATGTCCTTGGATTCTTCGCCTTCGTTTTCAGTGCTTTGTGATGAAGTTGCATTGTTGACGAAAAACTGCCCAGACCAAATGGATTTTTCGGCCCGAGCTCTTGCAACAAATTCTCCAAAACGCTCAATGTCGCATCCATTATGTATCCATTCGCTCGCTTTGCCTTCAATAGTGTCCGGACTACTCGCTCCGCCAATACCCAACAATTGCTTTATCGTCGGCCGCTCTGCTGGATTCTTCTTTAGACACCATTGGATGATAAGTTTTACTAAATAATAACGGGATCATTAGCCACACACGAAAAAAGTATCATGCATGATGATTGTTACCTTCTGGGCCGATATCACTCCATGCAGCGCCATCAAAATTCGGCTCATTGTTATAGATGTTTGCCATAATCTGATTGTAATCAAGTGACCCCGTATCCACAAGTGCGTGACAGCGACCGATCATCTCGTATAATATCAATCCCAGTGCCCAAATGTCAATCTTCTCCGGCTCATCGATCCTGACACCCGTTTCTTGGTGCTTGCGAAATAATTCGGGCGCCCAATACCTAAAGCAAACAGCGCCGTCAACATCCGACAAGCTGAGAATTGCATCATAATGGACTTACGGGTATGTTCCTCCTTCTGTTAACCTGATATCAGCCTTTTCTTTGAAAAAAGCGCTTCCGAAATCACCAAGGACGACCCGAGGAAAGTTTGAATTGTCACATATAAGGATGTTTGACGGCTATATACCTTATTTAGCTTTGATGAACATGATCCAGAATATCCTACACAATACCTTGATGTCTGCAAACCATTAGTATTGCTTTAAACCTTTACAATCGTTCTTCTTACCTCCATGAATGATTACTCGTTTCGGCTTTGTTTCTCTGCTGTCTAGAAACTCGCTATGTAAATACTGCACCAAAAGGAAAAATAGAGCTATTAATTGAAAGATCGATCAAGGAGTAAATCGCCACTTACATATACTGCCATGGCAAGCTGATAGAATATGCATCGTATGACTGACATGCACCCTAGGAATGGAAGGTCGTCGCTGTTGTTGTTGTTGTTGCCTTTTTCCTTTTCCTTTAACGCCCATGCCTTCTGCCAAGCTCGAATTTTCCAATTCAAGTCACCACCTGTGGCTCTATATTGCAGCGAATGGATATTGTCAATAAGTATTGGGATACTCCTGCTCACGGGTTACTTACAATGGCGTCAAAAGATACCAGCAATCACTCTTCGGATCAGGTTTATGGACTCCAAGAAGGGGAAGGATACCAACCTTGTTAAGGCAAACAAAGGATTCAGCAAGATGTTATTCCACAGTGTAACGAGCGATGACTTACATGTTGACAATAACGCATGATTTCAATCTCTTCTTGAACCCTTACTGATGTTTGTCCAATAGACTTGTAGTTCCTGACCTTGCATGCCACGGGATAAACTTGTGCTTTGAGAGGTATGGCAAGATGAATAGAGGCCTCACCACCTTTCGCAATCAGATCGGTCAAGCGAATGATAATGTCGTCGTTTCCTTGCTGTGATCCATGGTCTTCCTTGTCGCTCGTTATTCCATTATTTGGCTGTGGGTAATGTATATGTAAGTAACGTATGCAATAGCCAGCAGGTAGAATAATACCACTCACTATGAATTCCTCAATTGCTGTGGCAAGTGTTACTTCGACATCTCTGTACTGAGCAACCTCGTATACCTTTGTTGGTATATAATAAAACTCTACATGAGTAAGTACTATCAACTCCTGTACTACTCCTTGGCGAGTGAATGAACAATGAAAACTCTTACCAAAATCAGACGTGGCAAAGCTTATGATACATCCTTGGAATAATGCTGCTGTTCGCCTGCATCCGATCGGCTGGTGATTGACTATTCATGATATCGATCAATGGATCATACAAGGAAACATGCGTTGTTCATTATGATCTTACGGTAGGTCCCATTCTCGCTCAAATCCTAAATAATGACAATGGCGTCAATGAAATGCCGTATTGTGATACAAATAAATCTCTTACTTCAATAAAGGGGACATCGATGCCATCGTCATGGTATTTCACCTACATCGCTGGCGATAAGTACGTACAGGTAAACACCCTTTTTGTTGACATACTGTGTGTATCACGGCGTGGAAATAGCTGATTCTGGGGTCTTTGATCTGGAAATCGCTATAGGGATCTATGAGAAACTGCATGGTTGCCATGGCAAGTACTGGGTTTACCTTTGTGGAAGGCTGCCTATGATCGTAGCGTCATGGGCACGTATAGGAATAACTGAAAGACGTCATGAGTATAGAGACCGGGAGCATGGAGCGTATACTTACCGTAACTCTCAATGTTGCGATGTGCACCACGAAGTACACCAACGATCTTGGGGTCAGTCATCAAAGCGAAAAGAAATGCTGCGCACGAGCGGTGATTAAGCAGCTGTGCATGATTTTATCCCATCCAGCAACAGCTGTCGGGTGCCTTGGATATGCAGCAAGTGATAAATGTTTTAGATGTCGAGCCTACATTCATATAGACAGTGACCCAATCCCTTACTGAATAAATTTCTTGACAATGAAAAGAACAATAAAAGTAATAGCTCACAACAGAATAAAGCTCATTCAGGGTCATTGATTGGTTGCAATTGATCACACTCTAATGTAAGGAAGCTGCTTGATGCACATGTCATTGGTCGCTAATTATACATATACGTATCTTCTGGATCTGTTTACATGAAGCTATCTCACTTCCTCTAGCGAGATGAGTGTTTATTTACAGTTGCTGTGCAATTAAAGGGGGCTTAAAGTATTCTTATGTGGTATGGAGTGATTTTCTGCAAACGTATACGCGTCAATAAAGGCATGTAGATAAGGTTGGAGAACACACACATACCGTAGGCGATGAATTGCTATAATGAGTGTGACACATGCGCGCCATTTTGATGTTGGTGAAAGGGTGGTTGTCGAATGATGCTGAAAGTCTGCCATTGGAGCGTCTGCTGCTCTTGTTGACTCGCTAGAATACCATTAGCCAATGCTGGCAAAGTAGGAGGTTCCTCTTATCACACTTACCACTCTTCAAATCCTCGATTGACAAGCAAAAGATAGCGCTTTTGGAACACTGTTGAATCACCAAGTTAGCAAGCGATCCTAAATCTCTAGATTCAACTTACTTAATTCCAGTCGCCGTCTCCTCTCGTCTTCGTATTTTCGCTCTGACTCGTCCAACAAGGTCTTCAGCTGTTCAATTTCATCCAGCAGGTGCTGTTTTCCAATCTCATAAGCATCCCTTGAGCAAGGTATCCAAACGACCATGAATACTTACTGATTGTGGATGTTCAAAAGGTTGATGTCGGGTATCATAATCCAAATCACTCGTTTGCGGTCGTTGATCGTTTGCCGTAGACAATAGCTGCTCCTTTCGCTGTTCCAGGGTATTCACTTCGAGATGCAAGTGCTGCAAGTGCTCTTGGGCAGCATCCAATTCCTGCAATTCGATCACTCTTTTCGATACTTGTTCTCGTAATCTCTATAGATTGAAATGTAAACATCAAATACAATCCAATCCTATGATATTGATATACCTTTTCATCATCCAATTGCTGTTGTAGATCATTGATCACTTTATCCGATGATTGCTTTCTCAACCTTAAGGTCCTCTCCAGCTCGGCTTTTTCATATTTGACTTGTCGAATATCCTCACGCGTCAACTTTACGGTGTTAAGCAAGCTTGCATTCTCCTCTCGTAACCGCCGTACTAGTGATTTCCAAGAGAACTAGGATTGGATTTAGCCAAAGGTAGTATATAATAGAAGCATATGGGAGGATCCTCACCTCTGACTCGACCTTGAACTGCTCGACACGATCGTTGCTATGTTTTCCCTATAGCCTAATGCTTAGTTAAACGACTCAAACTGCTGACTGGGATGGTTACCAATGGGCCATGGGGGTGATCGTGGTGGATCGATGGTTCCTGCAGATCGGCTTTGCGGCATTCCATCTCGTCAAACAGGGTCCGAGGTGCGTTTTTGAACAGATGCTGTGAAAGGGTCACAGGAGAATCGAGTATCAAGGAAGATTGAGGAAGGTCTTTGTTGAAAACCATAACAGAGTACTCGCTGCTTGTGCTCATTTTCCCATTGAACAAAACAGCTAGGAAGAACAAGTGGCGGCTGCTGCAAGTGGAAATAGTCCGCTGCCCCTGTCCTTTACCCAAGCTTATACAACCCCCCACCCCACCTTTAAGATTTTTATCATTACCATAAGTTCCCTTCCAATGTATCATAAGAAAATGCTTATGCCATTGAATGGTGTCATGCTGTTGTCAGAATTGGTGGTAGGTAGTGCAAAGGATCTGCATATCATGTGACACAGCGTTCACCGCAATTCCCTCAAGAGTGTAGTATGTGATAAGGCAACGAATTTACTATCAGCGTAGTACTATCTTCCATCAAGCAAAGCAATGTATGTGCATAGGTAAAATAAAGTACATTTGGTCCTAGCATAAACAATTTGACGAACCTATGCCGTCGCTTCTTTATCATCACCATCGTTCGTTAGTGTAAAGATGTGATACCTATGGATCCTTTCCATATTATATAAAGCGACTTTTTTACGCTCAGCTGTCAATGTAAGCTTGACCTTGTCTCCAAGATCTATCATGTTACTTAGCTAATCGCTCCGTAACACTCATTCTTCAGTAGAACCATCATCATCATCCCGCTTTATAGGTTTGGAGCTAATAAAGAAATGAGATCGGAAGGAAAGTAAACGATCAAGGGGCAAGGAAAGTTCACACCCGCACAACGATAATCGAGGAATGAAGAAGCAACAGCAATATACTATTGATAATAGATGTGAACTTACGTGATCCATATACTTGACAATCAGCTACAGCAAAAGCAAAAGCAAATCGCTACTTCTCCCACATGAATTACACATGTACACTGAGGGCGATGTCATTGTATACTTAAAATGAGTGGCATTGACAAGTGGAAGATGGGAGCATTTGCTCACTTGTGCGACATTAAAGCAAGAGGTCTGTGCGCTCTTCGCTGGCGGTTTAAAAAAAAATTACCGGAATGCTATACCGGAAAAGGATCGCTTGCAGTTCTGCAACCCAGCTTTACTCTACACTCCAGCCCATGCCAACACTCGGTGAACGTCTTAGCTACAAATATAAGGAGGTAGACAAAACGACATTGTAGTACAGCTGTGGATGTCAAGAAACGCTTTATTCTTTTGATCGCGTAGCCAAGATCTACTTTTGCAATTGACCCCTTCCACCATTGCCCGACACAGTCTCCATGACAACCGATTTAGTACCAGCTATGGACAGCTATCAAGCACTGTTGAATCACATGGTTTATTGGTTGGCGCGTTTGGAGGAAGACTGTTTTTTGGTTCAGCCAGCTTTTATCACCCTTATGTCGTTCTCGCTCTCTACTCGTTCCTGTGCCTGTCGCTTATGAGGATACTTTACGAGCAACATTACAGCTTCAAAATGATTGAGATTGGATTACTGGTAAGGCTTTGGATTGAGAAAGGATGGATCAAGGCAAGGGTGCTTATATTTACATCCCCCCTTTTCAATGTGAAGGCCAATCACCTATAATGGTTAGTGTTTACAAGCAATATTACGATATCATCAGGTAGTAATCGGATCATCATTGTTGTTGCTTACAGCATTCGAGTACACAGACATAGATGCATACCATGGCAAAGTATACATGATAGCCTAGCTAATTTCTTTTGTAATGGGATTGTCGTTAGTGAGCACAATAAACGAATCATGATCCCAAATTGATTTCATTGTTTGGCTTTGTTTATGTCTATTCCAGATTTGTACATGGCGAATCAACCCAAGGCCCTTCCCATAGTAATCTAATTGTTGAAGCTGGATAGCCCTACCACTTTATTGTCTCATGAACCCATTTATCAGCTCATGGATCATCCCCAACTTTTCCCTTCTTCCTATTTGTGATCACAGGAATCCACACACATCACGTAAGAGGATGCCGTCAACTTCCTTTTATTGCTTCTATGCGTGTCATGGCAGGCAATCCTGTGTATTAGCACTAACACAGATGGTCATTCATAGTGGTTCATTGTTATCCAACTTTCATTGTTGTGAACGTCATTGGGTAAATGTCAAAGTGAGAAGTTTCTTTATTAGTCACGTTCTCTCGCGTGATTTGAAAAGATTTACCATATTATTCACCACATTTGAAGATTGTTTACATCGCAAACCATTGTAACTTTTGACACGAAATAGAACGAGCAGCTTGTTTATCTCCATTTGAGATAAAGAGACACACGGCAGACATTATGCCAAATTTTAACCGGAAGGTTACGCAAATTTATTGGGGGGATGCGGGTTGTCGGCTATCGTTGTCCGGATGAAGGCACCGCAGCATCAAAGACATGTATTGTAAGAACCTTGGTGGATGTCGCAGCAAAGTGCAGATGGACATTTACGTATGGTTGCGTTTTTCTTTATATGTAAGAAACGGAAGAGATTGAGCTAGGCACTGAATTGAAATGCCATCCAGGCGCTCTATATCAGAATCCCATAGACATCAAGCATACAAACAAGACAATTTATAGAGTAGAATGAATGTTGGCGTCGAACATAGATCATTTGAAACGCATAGCTTTATTATATACATCGGCAACAAGGAACATTTGGGACTTCAAATATGGACATAATAGTACTACAAGTAATTGAATATCCAAGAGCATCGACTTTGATTTAGAATAACGAGGAGAATGGATACTTGTAATGATGACTAATTAGAATGTTGGCAGGGAATGCTTCCAAGAATACGGTTGTCATGCAACTCGCTGCTTGTTGCTTGGGGGGATTTAACCGATCTCTTTGTCAGCGCTCATAAGTAGAAATACTCTCCGCCTCGGAAGGACAGCAATTTTAGCCCTCTCCCATTGTGTGAGATTGTTTTCCTCGTCCTTCTCTTCGATGGCCTTCCCTTTCGATCTCGCACACCAGCCATTATCCTCGGCCTCGTCATCCTCATCTCTTGTGATTCCCGAGACGCAAAAGACAACACTATGGTATGTTTGGCTCATATCGTTCATGGGGTGAAAGACGCTAATGGCATGATCCTATTTTATTGTTCTTTCCAGGATGGGTGAACTAGAGCCATGGATGGATGAGCAGTATCTCCGGCAATTGTGGTTCAATTTGAACGAAACGGTCATGGTGAAAGTGATCCGGGACAAAGTTACTGGGTAGGTTGCCTTTGTAGGGTGTGCATGGGCTCATTGGGCTAACGATCTGTATAGAGCCAGTGCTGGGTACGCCTTTGTTGATTTCGGATCAACTATGAATGCGCAGCGAGCCCTGAATACTTTCAACGGGACCATTATTCCAAACACTCACAAGCAGTTTAAATTGAACTGGGCATCTGGTGGTGGTCTTATTGATCGACGGTAAGGTTATACTTATTCTTTAGAATGCAAAAGTGGCTCATTTGAGACTATTAGTGAGGATCGACAACCCGAATATTCCATCTTTGTTGGTGACTTGAGCCCTGAATGTACCGAACTTGGTCTCTTGGTAAGTGGGATGGAAGGATGAAAAAGAAAAAGATAGGCAGGGGGGCTGATGAATGAGGTTATGCAGGGTGTCTTTCAAGCACATTATCGCTCGTGTAAATCTGCAAAGATTATGACGGATCCAAGGACAGGATTGACTCGAGGATATGGATTTGTACGATTCTCGGATCAAAATGATCAACAGCGTGCGTTGATGGAGATGCAAGGTTACATCATCGGTTCTCGTCCTATTCGTGTCTCAGTAGCAACCCCAAAGAATCGTTCACATTCATCGATTTCCTCGCCTCCAACGAGATCACCACGACAACAACCAGCTTCAGTACTTCCTGATCCCAGCAACACCACTGTATTTGTTGGCGGTTTATCAGCTCCTATTCGCGAAGATGAATTGCGACAATATTTCAGTCCATTTGGTGATATTATGCAGGTCAAGATTCCACCTGGAAAGGGTTGTGGTTTTGTTCAATATGTTCATAGACAATCAGCTGAACTTGCTATCCAACAAATGAATGGTTATCAAATCGGCAATTCCAGAATTCGCTTGTCCTGGGGTCGTTCGCAGAGTGATTGTGCAAACAAGTTACTTCAACAGCAACAGCAATTGGCACTCAATGCTCAACACAGCGTATTGACTCCTCCAACTATGCCAATGGGATTGACTCGGTAAGTGTAAAACAAGATGAGATAGGGCTATTGGCAATGTTCTTACCCATGATCTCTTCTAGACCACCTCTTTACCCACCACAAACACAGCCATTGAGAAATGTTGCACCCTACGCAGGTCTTCGTTATGCATCACCACCAACGATGCCTCAAAGCCCAAACCAGCCTCAATCCCTTTCAGCCAATTTGGACATGAGCCTTCTATCTAATCCACCTACGACCACGTTACGTACACCGTTCGCTCAGCTAGATCAATACGCGACCAATGATCCTCTTGATCTTGTGGCCGAAGAGGATGTTCTTTCAACTGCAAGGTTGTTTCTAGACAAAAAAGCCAACAATGCAGCAGCAGCAGCCTGGAGACTCAACCAGGTGTATGCCCAGTAAGACTCAATGTCAGATACAATATGCATATTACGAATCTCCCATCGTCAACACACACATAACACCACACACACACACACAACACAACACCATTACGTCCCATGAAAAGAAAAAATTAGTTCACGCGTTTGTTATTTTATCATTATCCCTATCCTAACTACCCTATCTACCCAACCACCCTCCCCCATCCATCCACCTTGAGTTCTGTGTCGTTTTCCCGTATTGTACTTTTTGTTTGTGCTATCAGTATTGCTCTTAGTTGCTTCCCTCCCCATCTTCTGTGTTATATTATATTATACGAAATATACTTGTTTTATTGATTTCTTTTCCCATACATTACATGTGAGACACTCACCTACCTGATATTCATAGCAACGCCAAAAGATCATTGGTAATCTATGTATCGATAAAATATCGGATCTTCGATCTTCCCTTTGTCCGACCTTCTTTTCCACTTTATACACAATGGCCCTTTTGAATGCGAATCCAATCGTTTACGAGCCCACATTGACCACCATTCGAGTGGAAACGGAGTCCGATTACGACGACGATATTGTGGATCCTATTGATGCCGAAGAAGTGTATGAATTGCTACGCTCCATTTCCGATCCGGAACACCCATTGACGCTTGAGCAACTTAACGTCACCCAACTTCAACACATTACTGTGGACAATAATGAAAACCATGTGCTTGTGGAATTCACACCCACTATTCCTCACTGTTCTATGGCTACATTGATTGGTCTATGTATCCGGGTGCGCTTGTTACGTAGCTTGCCAGAGAGATTCAAGGTAAGGAAACATTATCTTTTGGTCATGTGACATGAAATTCTTACAAATCAAATAGGTGGATATCAAAGTACGCAAGGGAACGCATCAATCTGAAAACGCCGTCAACAAGCAATTGAACGACAAGGAACGAGTAGCAGCTGCTTTGGAAAACAAACATTTGCTTGAAGTTGTCAATCAATGCCTGGCTACTGCAGGACGCAGCGAGTAGATTCTAGTAGCTAGTACCAGTACCATTTCATTGCTTCCCCATTTATCCCCCTCCTTGTTTATATATATCTTGTAAAGAAATTGCATTATCTATTGTCTACTACATGTTGTTTGATGTGATGGATCGTTTGTCAAAGGCAAGGTTAACAATAGGGAGGCCATAGGTTTATTGAATACCAAGGGAAAGGAAGAGAGGGATAGTCCACAAGACCACGTGTCATATCGAGATAATGATGCATAGTGCCTCGTCGCATAGCATGATGTTGTTGTCAGGTGCCATGGCAACCTTGGGAGAATTGATTATTGAGTACAATGATGTATTACTACTCTTGTGGATGAAGGGAATCTGCCGATCCTTAGCAACAAGGCGGTACTGCATATGATTTGGAGAGACTTGTATGGTCGCATGAAAGCAAAATGAAGTTTTAATCATGGTCACAAACATTACACAGGAAGGAGGAAGCAGTGTCTTGGGGTGCATTATGGCTATGTAAGAAGATGTCAATGTGTCAATTAAAACCTAGCAAGCAATGGATAGTAGTAGTAGTAGTAGACAAATCAATTCATGGGCGATACTATGCTTTTAATGTCATACCTACTCTAATGGGATTATGTCAAGGGTGAGGGTATGTGTGGGTGTGAGCGTGAGTGAGTATACATAATGATGGAGCCATCGGGATTTGCTGCTTTGATAACTTCACGCCGACAACCGCGCCTGCATTCTACTTTCTCCTTTCTCTTTTACAGCCCATGTCTCTCATAACGGACGCCAACTTTCTCATTCATGAAATGCGAATAAAGCTGCTGAGGACGGACGAACGAGGCGAACGGATAATATCTTTTCGACCCACGGTCATGTCAGACGACTACATTCGACTTGCAGCTCCCACTTACCCTGAAATGCAATACTGTTATTCGCCTGTATACGACAGCTACCTTGCCAAGGGAGGCACATCGACCGGCACAAACCTCATCAGTAGTCCGAGAACGAAACGCAGCCATTATCGCTTGCGTAAGAAGGAGAACATGCAGCTCAATCCACCAGCATTCCCCAAACCGGCAGCATCCGATAGTGGAAATGAGGAATCAGTTACTGATGCAGAGCTCGGGTATGTTGGAACGCATAAACTGGTGTATAGAGTCGACTTTTAATGAGTGTATTATCATAGTGCAAAGGAAGATAAACCATTACCACCTACACCTATGCGCAAACAATCAGCACCCACATTATGCATCACTGAAGCATCCAAAGCAAACAATGGACACCGACCCAAGTTCCCTGAAGACGCATCAGCTACAACGACAACCTCTTCACTCCACAAAGAGACAATGATACGATCACATGCACGCACTACATCCAGTACAACATTCTCATTTCATGGCACAACTGGCAGCGAAAATGCGACAATGACCTCACTGCATCCATCCATCGAATCGCCTATTGATCCATCGCCAAGATCTTCTTTGGATGTTGAAGGGGATCAAGCTTCTTTCCCATACACTCAGCCTGTTGAATCAAGAGCGAGCGCAAAAAGTAAAATCATCAACGTACCTGAACAACAACAGCAACAGCAACAACTCCCCTTGGCAGAACAACAACAACAACAATCCAATCAGGAACAGCAACATGAAGAACAACACCAAGAGAAGCCACTATCACCTCTTGTCATTAGCAAGATCAAACTTCCTCCACCTGTATCAGCTATTGCTCAAGCACCTACTCCTGCTGCACCAGTATTCAAATTACCCAGCAATATCAGAGTAGATCCACGTAGACGACGACGCTATAATAGAGATCCACAACCACAAGCATCACCACAACCACCACAGCCAAAACGTCCTACACCAAAATCAGCTTTAACAGCAATGATTCAGGAACGTGCATCAGCTGCAGATAATCCATTCAGCGAATTCTCTTTTGTATCTGGAAGGGGTGAAAACAATCCTATTACGCTGTGCGTCTATTTACCGCACTCAGCCCATCCATACGAACCAGTCAGCTTGGTGGTGCGACCTGATGCCATTGTGGATGATGTCATTGGCTACATCTTGTATGATTATATTGAGAAGAAGCGGAAGCCGCCATTAGAAGAAGAGATATACGACATTGCCAATTGGGTTTTGAGGATAGCAGAAGATGATGGTGAAATTGAAGAGGATCTACCAGGTTAGTAATGGTATTATGGGTCTATATGGGATGATATGGTTTTGGCTAAGATCTATTATCATTTATAGCTCTCGATCGTACACGCCAAATCAGCATGGTTTCATTTGATCAATTTGCATTATGTCGAACAGCACCCAATCAAGGTATGGATGATGATCATCTTTATCGATCCATGATCGTGGTTACTTATTGTAAGAATATAGTGAAACAAAACGAGCTTATACGTGCAAAATTGGGAAGAAGTGGACCCACGGTGGATGTAGTAAAGAGTAACAAGGCTGCAGGGCAGGAGAATCATTTGGCACCACCACAAGTGGCAGCACCTGGGACAAGTGCGAATGGATCTACTTTTACCACTGTGGATTTGGGACCCATTGATCCGGTACCTGTGGGACCAAGTTATACCTCGCAACAACAAGAAGCTGATTCATCTGCCGTGGCTGTACCCATTCCTTCATCCAAGGCAATGCTTACCAAATCCACCATGCCAATGACACCTGTCAAATACTTCCGTATCCGATTATTGACGAATGAAGAGGTCTCAGCAACAACCACTATTCCCGTTTATGCAGAGATGTTCATTGGCGACGTGCTGGAGCTCGTATCTCGGAAACGAAAGCTTGACCCTGATGAATACATGTTGACCATCGCTGATACCAATGTCATCGTTCCCAATGATACAACAGTGGATAGCATGAACGACGTTACCGAGTTATGTTTGATGAAAAAAGGAGCAGGTCTCACAATACCAAGTTGTAAGTAGCGAGGGGAGGGAGGATCATCATAGCTGGTACTGGATGCTTACTTTTTTGTTCATTAGCGTCTCACATGTGGCGATCACCAAACAAAAAGAAAAAGGATGAAGTGTATTATACCGGGGTCTTCAATACCGGACCACCCACAGCCACAAGCGGTAATGGGAACAACGGGATTCTGTCACAATACAAAAAGTACCTGGTCAATCGCAAGATGCAGATGTTTGTTGGTCGAAGAGAAAGTATCCTGGCAATCGATGGTGACTATATCCATATCATGCCCCCTGAACATAAAGGGATGTTTGATTCTGTAAAAACTGTAAGTGATATAGCTGGTATAATGAAAACAAGATCATGTGCTAATCCCTATATGTGCGTAGACATCATTCCATGTCAGTGCCGTCTTATCATGTAAACAAAGCAAGAAAGCCCCCGCCAATTTCAAGATTGCAGTAGCCAAGGATCAAAGCCATAAGGTGTATGATTTTGAAGCAATGAGTGCAAAGGAATCACGTATGTATGAGGGAAGGGAGGATCATCACAAGCATTCACTAATCACTTTCCATAGAGGAAATCGTTTCAAGGATAAATTTGCTGATACAAGTGACAAAAGCAGGATAGTGACAGACCATTGTACATATCGTTATATCACACTCCCAAAATACCATTCACCACTGCTATCATCCTATCATGCATATTGTACTTTTTGACAATGTTTGTGTATCTTTTCGGCATTTCATAAGCCAAATGGATAAATGGAATTACTATTATCCGTTCCTATCGCATCGATAGTGCAGCTCAAGAAAGCAAGCCCAAGCAATTCGATTCATGCAACATGTCATTGTTTTCTTTTTAAGATGTATATGATGATTGATCGACGTATGGAGATATAGGTGATAATCCTTAATTACAGCTCCCTTAAGCATGGCATGTAGGTGTGTACCCCTTGCATGATTTCTTAACCGGCTTCCGTTAAGGACTGTATCACACTTACTGTATTAGGATATCATGGGTAATTCAGCTGAGGTGACGATTATCGTCATACATCATATACAAGCTCCCTTTTAGCCAAACAACGATGTTGTTGTTCTTTATTCAAGTGAAATAAAAGCAAAGCAAATAATAGGGTGGACAATGCATGCATGGTCACGTGTAGATGGCGGCTAGGTTAGGAAGGACCGATCTCCATGGATGATCTTGATACTGCATGCAGGTTTATTTGTGTGGTAGATCTCGCTTACCTATTGTGAGAACATGCTATAATGATGATGGAATGTGCCTGGGATGGAGGATGTGGCTACTATGTTTGTTGACTCGTATGCTATGTTGGTTGCTATGATATTAATTCATGGTTGCTATGGTATTGACTCATGATGCTTGCTATAATGTTGACTCACTTGTATACCATAATGTTGACTTTTGCGTCGTGGCATGATGTTGACTGTTGGACTCTTGGCTGCCATGTATGATGTTGACTCTTAGCCAGTGATCGGGGGTTCAACTTACCAGGGTCGGCTTGCAGGCTGAAAACACCACGGGGTAGAGCTTTTTTCTCACTCACTCTCTTTCTCTACATTAAACCATATCCCCCCTACTCTTCCTAACCGTACCATGTCGATTGCCCTCGCTAGCTTGAGAACTTCCGCAATTCGTGCTCGTGTGGCTCCTTCTGTGGCTGCTGTGAGTTGTCCATTGTACCTGATTCCAATTGACTCCGTAACTAATCTTTGACATTGACGCGCGCCCATACCTTTTGCCGACTCCCATTAGCCTGTTGCACGCATGTTGAACACCAGCACCTCGAGCAACATGGCCTCTCCTACTGATGCTCCTGCCACCAAGAAACAGCCATTGCTCAAGACTTTTGAGATCTACCGCTGGGTAAACTTTAGTCACCCCATATGGGGGAGGAGATTGTGGCACAAGTACGTTTATCTCTCTTTTACTAACCAACAATCCATATATAGAACCCTGATAAGCCTACCGAGAAGCCCTACTTGGAGAAGTATCAGATTGACTTGAACCAATGCGGTCCTATGGTGCTCGATGCTTTGATCAAGATTAAGAACGAGCAGGATCCTAGCTTGACTTTCCGTCGTTCTTGCCGTGAGGGTATTTGTGGTTCTTGTGCCATGAACATTGAAGGTGGCAACACTCTTGCTTGTATCTCCAAGATCAACCGTGACGCTAGCAAGCCTGTCAAGATCTACCCCTTGCCTCACAGTAAGTATTATCCAGGATGGTGATGGTGATGGGTGTGTGGTGTTTACGCTGCTCGGAATATATCGGGAGTCGAATTATCATTGACACATGAAAACCCAACTTAGTGTACATTGTCAAGGACTTGGTGCCTGATCTTACCCACTTCTACAAGCAGTACAAGAGCATCGAGCCTTATCTCAAGCAAAACACCCCTCCCGCTGATGGTAAGGAAAACTTGCAATCCATTGAGGACCGTAAGAAATTGGTAAGTGGGACTTTATTGGGAAGCAAAGGGATGATCAAAGGGACAATTGTATTCATATTTTGAAAATAGGATGGTTTGTACGAGTGCATTCTTTGCGCATGCTGCTCTACCTCTTGCCCTTCGTACTGGTGGAATCAGGTAATTGGGTGGGATGGCAAAAAGAGTATCAACGTCATTTATTGATGGAATTTTTCTATAGGAGGAGTACCTTGGTCCCGCTGTGTTGATGCAAGCTTACCGCTGGATGATTGACTCTCGTGATCAGTTTGGTGCCCAACGTCGTGAAGCTCTTCAAAACAAGATGTCTGTTTACCGATGCCACACCATTATGAACTGCAGCAAGACTTGCCCCAAGGGTCTTCAACCTGGTGCAGCTATTGCCAAGATCAAGTACATGATGGCCACCGACTAAGCGGATGTATTTTGCCCATTAATTAAATACAGGAAGAAGACTCGTCTTGTTTTGTTTTAAATAAAGGATTATTAAAAACGGGGAATCATACGCTATCTTGAGACTCTACAACTTGCTGTCAATGTCGGCGAGAACAGCTGCTGGATAAGCTGGGCTGGTATTGGTAAGCCAATGACCACCATCAACAACCAATGTTACACCAGTGATGTAGCTAGCACCTTGTGAAAAGAGGAATACGGTCGATTGTGCAATATCATCCACTTCTCCAACACGCTATCATTTCATTGTCAATGATAACTTTCTTTGGTATCCTAATACCTTTTAAAGCTTACCTGTGCAGGGATCGTCTCTGGTTCAAGAAGTCCTCCGGCCAAACGACTCAATCCTTCGGTGGATGCCTATGTATCATCTTGATGTCAGCAAACCATATAATACTCAACATATCAACATCCACTTACAATAGGTCCAGGAGCGATACCATTTACACCTAATCATTCATTTAGTATCATGCTATGTTATCCCATGTCTCACGTATACGTACGAATACCATGAGGACCCAATTCAACTGCCCAATGTTTGGTCAAAGCCTACGTTGCATGGAATGAGAATGAAGCATTTACAGCATGATGACAATGGATATAAACATACATCAATAGCTGCCTTGGCTGCACCGGCGTGTTGTTGGAAAATCATGCCATTGTAATGCAAGGTAGCGCTGACATTGATGATAGAGCCCTTGGATGCCTTAAGATGAGGAAGAGTAGCCTTGGTAAGATTGAAGGTGCCCAACAGATCAATTTCAATGACAGTGCGGAATGCATTGTACGACAAGTTGTTGAAAGGAGCCAAAAAGTTGCCAGCTGCACCATTGATCAAGTAATCGATACGTCCAAACTTTTCAATTGTCTTTGCCACAGCATTTTCAACTTGCTCGGGTTTGCGTACATCAGCAGCGACAGGGCTATATCAAAAGGAGAATGGTTACCATTATCAAGCCTTGAACAACTGACACTACAACAACAACTTACAAGACCTCGCCACCTGTGGCCGCACTCATTTCTTGAGCTGCCTTTTCGAGTTTAGAATAACTATTGTAGCGAATGAGCACCAGGGATTATATAGACATGCCACCCCATTTGCATACGTTCGACTAATGATGACGGCCTTTGCACCATGACGGACCATGGCTTCGGTCATGCCACGACAAATGCCACTGCCACCACCAGAGCAGAGCAAGACTTTTCCAGCAAAGATATTATCCTTGAAAACTTTCGTAGTATCCACAGCTGCCATTTGAATAAAGATAAAGAAAATGAGCTCGATAGCACGAATCCAATTGATTTTATTCTGGGGTCACAGTCATATGGGTGTGGGGGAAAAATGCTGCTGACAACGACGCTATTACGAGCACGTGAGTGAGTTTATCCCCACGCGGCATTACATTTTGTAAGCCAGTTTACACCGTATGCGGCACACCCACGTAAACAACTTCTTACGCAACTTGCATACCTACCTAATGAAACGTAATGTATCTAATGCACAAAGGTCATCGAAAAGATGCCTAGATGCGGCATCTTATCTATCCTAAGTACACCTTGTTGGTTGCTTAGTAACGTAGCATACATAATCTTGGCATGGCGCATTGAATGAGACGATAAGCGTTGTTACACAGAGGAGGGAAGATGACAAGTGCATGTCATCTCATATTATGTATTCTTCTTTCAAATGATAGCGGGCTTGTTCATTACTACAAAGAAGGTTCAATGTTACAACTCACCCATACGATCGGGGATACATATTGAAAGGGATCCCTGGTTGTATGGGCAACAGCTGCTATGCAACGAATTAAGATTTTGTCATGGCAACTCGAACTCATTATTTTATTGTTCCCAAGGCAGTTATGGATAATGTTGTTGCATCTATTAAACAGGAGGCTAGATATGATGGTTGCTCAATAGTGTACGGACCATATTGTCACCTCCCTTCATAGCAAGAGATATAGCTTGAGAAATGAAGTCAATGACTAAAGGTATGTAATCATCATTCCACTTGTGCAGCAACCTGTCAAGGACATGCGTGTGTAACCACCACATGCCATTTCACTCAGTTCTTCATGTTTCCGTTCATGCAGCCGACACCATCCACTGGGAAAAAGCAACTCCATCACGCTTACAGCATAGGTAAAACATAAACGTGCCTGTATCTCCAAACTTTACAATGAAACGTGTGGTTTTTAATAGAGCAATGGGCTCGGCTTGGCCAACAGCATCTTGTGTGAAAGTTTCACGTTCAATGTCGCAACTAGCCCAAAAAATATTTTTTTGGTCGTCGTCGTCAAAGAGGGCGACCCCCAGATCCAGTTTGGCTGGTAGCGACATTGCGAAATCTGGGATTGGCAAGCTTGATCGTGAAACTTTCACACAAGGTGC